GTGATTGATGTAAACTGAGATAGTTCAGACTTCCTCAAGTGGCAACTGAACTCCAAAAAAGCAAGCCCCAATGTACAAACATTTCACAAGTTCCTGACTTCATCACATTTGCTGATGGCCCATTGGCCAAAGTAGGGCACATGGCCAACCCCAGAATCAGTGCGGAAGGGATCACACAAAAGCATGGACATCCGGGGCGCATGACTCACTGGAGGCCATTGGTGCGACAGTCTACCATACCTGGGCAGCTCCCATTTATCTTTAAAAGTTCGGTTCATGCCTGGCCTCCAAGAAGCCCTCTCTGACAGATTGGGTCATCACCTGTCCCTCCTCTGGACTCCCACAGTACCCTTTACACATCTCTACCTCTGTGTCTACCCTCTTTTTTTCTAATTATCTATGTATCATTTCTGTTTCCCTCATTGGAACAAACCTTTGAGGTTGTGTTCTATTAATCTTTGTATACCTAGAGTCTAGCCCCGTGCCTTGGAACATTATTGGTATCAATAATGTCTTAATTATTTGATCAATTAAGCCATCCATGAATAAAGTTTTTAAAATAACTATCAAAGATTAAATTATCTCCATTGGTGTTTTCTCTCAACTTCTGCCCTGCATTCCAAGAGATAATGTTTAGTTTGTATTTGTCACATTCTCCAACCAAACATGCAGTTCTTCAGGGAGCTAACCTCGCTCAGGAAGTTGACCTCGACTAGAGGTTAGGAGAAGTAGCAGAGTGTAGAACAGCGGTTCCAAGATTTTTTAATTTCATAGACTTAGTCACATTTCCAAAGAAGTGTGAGGGTTAACAGAAAGTTGCCAATTTTCTTTTTTTTTTTAATAAAGCAGGACATTAAAAACATACTTACACACATATCAATACCACCACCTCTTCAGAAAAGTGGAAAGGTATAACCTTAGAATGAAAGCATAGGAAAGGCAGGTATATAGTTGCAATTAGTCAAAGATTAGAGCTCAATATTATGGCTGCCTTGATATCAGGGAGACCTCAAATGGCCTAATTACAAGATCCCCTCCCTACTTTGCTGATGAGGTCCCCCAGCCAAACCACCTTCCTTATTGTGGGAGCCAGGCACAATTTCTGCTTATCCCTGAGTAGTGGGCTTCAGCACCGTGCCAGCCCACAGAATTATGCAAACAGCCAATCACATTCTCTTATAGGAAACGGGGGTATTCCACCATTTTGACATTACAAAGCCTGCCTCCCACAGCTCCTGGTAATCCCTGAGTGCAACTCCCATGTAGCAATCCATGGCATGCAGCGTTATCCTCCTGGGTATGAGCATATGTGACTAATAAACTGCTATTGATCTCATTCGTCCAGTGTTGAGGTCATGTTGTGATCCTCCTAACTTTAGGGGGTGGGAATCTCTCCCTCATCAATAGGGTGAAGAACATAAAATCAAAACAAGGTGATAACCTAACAGCTATGTTCAGAGTACCCCGGACTGTCCTCGTTTTACTTATTTCACCATGAACCAGGGAAATGAGTCTAGCAGAGATCTGAGGATCCGCTTTGGGAGCACTGGAGAGCACTGTACACGGAGTCAGGAGACCTAAGATCTAATAGTCCAGACCATTCTTCAAAATATTTGTCTGACCTTGACAAATCATTACCTTTCTTGGGCCTCAAGTCCCAGCTATAAAATGGTGGGGCAAGCCAGGTGCAGTGGTTCCCGCCTGTAATCCCAGCATTTTGAGAGGCCAGGCGGGAGGATTACTTGAGCCCAGGAGTTCAAGATCAGCTTGGGCAACATGGTGAGATCTCATCTCTTAAAAAAAAAAAAAAATTAATTAGCTGGGCATAGTGTCAAGTGCCTATGGTCCCAGCTACTCAGGAGGCGGAGGCAGGAGGATCGCTTGAGCCCAGGAGGTCAAGGCTTCAGTGAGCGGTGATTGTACCACTGCAGTCCAGCCTGAGCAACAGAGTGAGACCCTGTCTCAAAAATAAAATAAAATAAAATGTAAAAGATGGGAAAGCTGTAGCCACCTCTGTGATTCTACAAAGACAATCTGATGAAATGAGTGAATGGCTGGCAGTCCTTAGGTCATGCTAAAGGGCTGTGTGTTTTTAGAAGACTTTTTATCCCCATGTGTTTCTGAGTGGAACAACAGCAGACGGTGGGAGAAGAGAGATCTAAGAGACCAACAGGGCAGCCACAGTCTTCTGGCAGGAAGTCACGCCTTAGCTGGATCCCTCTAAAGCCTTGCTGCTTTCAGCACTCTCATCCTATCCATAGTAAATGGAGTTTTAAAATCTCTTCCCTCCCTCCACCACTTTGTGGTCTATCCCCTGACCTCAGATGTCTCATCTGAGCCATTAATTCCATCCAATCAGAGATCTTGCTTTGGCAGACACAGAATTGCCACACCTTCTACAGTCTATACTTCCCCCACCTCTTCCTGAAAGCAAGGTGCTTGGGGACCCAGAAATTAGGCCAGGTCCTCATAACCTTATCAAAATAGCACTGCTAGGCCTTCTACGAAGCAACACTCAGAGACAGGGCCAAAGAGTGGGAAACGGAGCATCCAGGGTCTCAGCCAGCAGAGCCCAGATGCCTTCTGCAGTTAAGATCCCTGGACTCAGAATCAGAAAGCTGTTAAGCAGGAAGGAACACACTGCCATGAAGAGATAGAAAGAAGCCAGAGCCAGCATGTCTGGAATGCATCAGGTAGATGAATGGGAAGATGGCTGGGATGGAGTTGGAGGGAGGAGGGAAGTCAGCAGCAAGGGGCAAGGACATCCATGGCCTTAAAAAGTACCCTACAAACAAAAAGCCAGGTTAGCTCGCCTATGAAGAGGGACAGTCTTATCAGATCATGTGTTAGAGTCCCCAGATCCTGGGGAGCATGAGAGAAGTGCAGACTCAGCTGGCTCTAGTACTAGATTAAGGAGGTCCTAGGTGGGCAAGGTGGGCTGCATTTTTCATAAAATGCCCTAGAAGCCTCTGCGGTTTACCAAAGTGAATAGCTCCTTTGGACTTAACAGTCTGCAAGGCTCATTCCAGTTAGAACATTCCATCACCCTAAATGCTGGGAAACCAAGCGAATCTCCTTCCACTTGCAAGCTTCCAACAGTGGCTTCCAACAGTGCCACTGCAGTATCAGAAACTGCAGGGAAGGTGCCAGGGCTGACTTCCATGAAGAAATAGGAGAACAGGCAGGCAGACAGTGGAGAGGCAGGGCCAGCCCACAGAATGTCTCCACCAGAATTCATAGAGACCGGCAGGATACAAATCAACCAAATAAACGTTGGTTCAAAAAATTCACCACACCTGTGAGTGAGAGACAAGTCATCAGCACTGTCTACAAAAATGAGCCTAGGGCTTCTGGTGACATCCAGTTGGTGGGTTATCAGGAGTGCCCCAGGTGATCAGAAGCTGGCTTCGACTGAGTCCTTTCTGTGGCGCTGTCTCCTCCTCTTTCCCAGAGTTCCTCTCCCCTCCCAGTGGGCAGGGATGAGCAAGAGGAATGTCTCACCCTTGAGAACTGGGGTTCCATAGCCCAGGTCAATTCTCCAGCTCTCCCACTTACCAGCCAAGACAGGAGGTGAGGATTGAGATGGGATGAACCCAGCAGGCGGCCGTGAGGTAAAGGTGGCCATGAATGTAATGTGCCCAGCACAGTGCCTGCTGAAAGGCAACCCTCCCTCCCTGGTCTGAAGACCAAACAAGCAGACTGTACTCAAGAAAGCCAGAAGAACCTTCCAGCTGTCTGGACCAGCAGGTGCCAGCCCAGGGGCTGAAGGAGACGTGATGCCCAGAGCAAAAAGCACCCGCAGGCCCCCTGAAGGGCTGGGTGTTCTAGAATAGATGAGGGGGCGAATGGGGCTGGGGACCAGGGACGGACAGGGTGGGTCCAGGGCCTGCCTTGCTTCCGGAGGGCTGCTCCAACATTGAAAAACATCCAACCAGCTTCCTTTCAGAAAGACTGGAATATTCCAAAACTTCTCACTGGAAGCTCCGGAGGAGGTGGGCTCCAGCTGAAAAGGAAATGCAGAGGCGTGGGCGCTCCCGGCCTGCATCCTGCACCTCTTACACTGTGGCTTTCCCACAGACTTCTGAAGAATAGGTCAGAAGAAAAGGGTTAAAGCGTTAAAAGGGGAACAACCATTGCGGGGCTCAGAGAGGAGGCTAATGTTCTTTGGGCTGCCCCACCCTGATCCCCGGCCACAGGATGAGGGCCCCCTTCCGCCGCAACCTGCCACTCTCACACCAATACGGGACCGCCTTCTCTTCCTTCCCCACCCCCCCACCCCACCCTGCCATCCTTTCTCCCCCCATCTCCGCCTCTGATTGGCTGAGCCCCCGGCTCCCCGCTCCCCCTCTCCTCCATCCCCGGTGAAAACTGCGGGCTCCGAGCTGGGTGCAGCAACCGGAGGCGGCGGCGCGTCTGGAGGAGGCTGCGGCAGCGGAAGACCCCAGTCCAGGTGGGAACTGGAGCCGGCGGGACCTGGGGCTCGGGGACTGCCGTCAAGCGCCCATGCAAGCCCTCCCAACACTAGGCTTCGGGCCACGGTCCGAGGGCGCCCAGGGAAGAGGGCGCAGAGCTTAGGGAGGGGCCTGCTTTCCAGGCAGGGGCGGGAGTAAGATGCTACTGCAGGGCCGGGGCCCCGTCGCACCGCGACGTCTTTCGGGGAAGGCGCTCCCGGGCTTTCGCCCGCTGGGGGACGGGTGTCTGGGGCTGGGGCGCTGGAGAACAGGGAGGAAGGGCACCAAGGACAAACTGTTGGTCTGCGTTCCACCCAGAAGTCCCCAAACCCAGCTCGCAGAGGTGGGGAGGAGGACGGGTGAAACTGTGGGGAGAGGACGAAGGATGGCGAGTGGAGGGAATCTGCCCGGTGACCTCGCGGCGGGCTGGGTGCGGGGCACCGGAGGAGAAGGAAGCCGCAATGCCGCAGGCGGGGACTGGATGGAAGGCGGGCGGACGGGGGAGGGGAGAACTGGAAAAGGATGAGAGAGGGGGAAGGGGGACTCAGCTGAGAAAGGAGAGGATTGAAATACGGAAATGAAATAAGGGTGAGGCCCGCCGGGGGCCTGAGAGGGAGGAAGAGCAGACCTTCTCCGGGTCTGGAGCCGCCTGAGGACACAAATCAGAGGAAATGAATACAGACTGAACCTCCCCAGCCGCTCTCCACCCCTCCCCTGGCTCTTCTACCCTCTCCAGCCCCAGACCCAATTCTTCCCTTTCTTGCTCTTGCCACTGTTCCCCCTTCCCCTCTTAGATCCCAAGCCCGCACATCATCTCAAACAAGAGTCCTCGAATCAAAAGCCAGATGCAGACCCCCCTTCCTCCTGGATCTGACTCGGCAGCAGCTCCACCCCGGGACAGAGAGAGCATTGATTGTAGCTGCAGCCGCCGCAGGATCCTAGCCTCACCCGTCAAGGGGCTGAGCGCCAGAGACCCTGAACTCGGCGAGTGGCGCACCCTGCGCACCCGGGCGCACTCTACCGAGGCAATGCCCTGCGTGCGCTCGCGGGTGCACGCCCCTTATGTGGCCTCTGCTGGGCGAGCACTGCTCTGCGGACAGGCTGGGCTACCGGCTCCGCGTCGCCTCGCCTCGCCAAGGGTTGGTTCAGCCAAGGCTGCAAAAACAAAAAGACCAGACAGCCTAGCCAGGGTGGCTGTTAAAACTGGGCTGGAAAACTGCAGTCCCAGGAACTCCAGAGAGCTGGACATTGGGAAGCGTCCTTGACTCACATACAATCGGAGATCACTGTGACTTTCTCTCCTCCGGGAACACGCTTAGCCTGTGCCCTATCCAGATAGGAATAGATGCTCCCTATCTGGGAGCATCCTTAGCCATGGTGGATGGTCTCTAGCCATCCACTGGGGATGGCGAATGACTTAGGGATTTGTGGCTCACTTATATGAAGCAGCCATCGCCAGATGTTGGTTGTTTTTCTTAACTCCCATCATAACCCGGTGGGTATGTAAGATTCAGAGAGATTCATTCATTCATTCACAATAAATATCTTTGGAGTGTATGCTATATGCCAGTAATCTGCAAATGGAAATGGTTTTGAGCATTGGGGATTTTCTTCTGAACAGGAAATGGGAAGTCCCTAAATGAGGAGTCTTTGTTTAACAGATCCAGAGTTTTACTTTGAAAGACAAAAAGAGTTCTGGAGATGGTTAAAATAGTAATTATTATGCTTTTTGTATTTCACCACGATTAAATTTTTTTTTTAAATAGGAAGCCCCGGCCCTCATAGGTCTTACATTACCATATACTGTGTTAATGTAAGAAGAGGAGAAAGAGTGGTAAAGTCACTTAAAGGCACCCAGCTAGTCAGTGCTCCATGGCCAAGCACAGAAACACACCATGACAGGGCTTGTTCTCCCTCCTTACTTGCTTTCCCTGAGCAGGAAAGAGCCAGTGGCTGTATCATGTTCAATGAGAAGTAGGGACGAGAGAGGGGATGGAGAGAGGGACTTAGATGTCTGCCATAGCCATTATGTCATGTTCCCAGGGACCCCCAGCCCTGGCAGTAAGTGTGGCACACCTTGGCTGATTCCCATCCTGTTCCCAACCCAGATCCAGGACTGAGCTCCCAGAACCATGAACCCGGCCATCAGCATCGCTCTCCTGCTAACAGGTACCCGGCATGGGGCAGGGCTGGGGCTCCAGGCACCCTGGCTTCCTTCTCTCCAGAGAAGTGGCTTCTCCCTCACAGTCTCAGAAAAGCGCAGGTGACTGTTTTTCAGAGGGCTCTTTTCATCCCAAAGTCAGCCAACCCACCTCGCTGATACTCTGACAGCCTGAGGTGGTTTTTGGAAACACAGTTTGCTGAGCCCTCCCTCATACTGAACTAAAATCCCCAATTGAGAACCCAGAACCTGTATCAATTCCCCAAAATCTCCTGTCCTTGAAACACATTGATAGGATCCAAGGCTCAAGCAGACTTGGGAGGAAGGCTGGGGTCTGCAAAGGAGAAGTGGGATCCCTGGAGTGGGGAAAGGCACTCAGAGAGCAGACCCCAGTCCCCTCCCTAGCCAGGCCCATCTCTCCACTTCAGGTGGGTGGGAGGCCCCTACGCTGTAGGCCCCTCCAATTTGAAGGAGGCACTGCTGGTGCCAGTCTTACAGGTCTCCCGAGGGCAGAAGGTGACCAGCCTAACGGCCTGCCTAGTGGACCAGAGCCTTCGTCTGGACTGCCGCCATGAGAATACCACCAGCTCACCCATCCAGTACGAGTTCAGCCTGACCCGTGAGACAAAGAAGCACGTGCTCTTTGGCACCGTGGGGGTGCCTGAGCACACATACCGCTCCCGAACCAACTTCACCAGCAAATACAACATGAAGGTCCTCTACTTATCCGCCTTCACCAGCAAGGATGAGGGGACCTACACGTGTGCACTCCACCACTCTGGCCATTCCCCGCCCATCTCCTCCCAGAACGTCACTGTGCTCAGAGGTGAGGCAAACTCCTAAAAAGGCCAAGTGAACTGGGAGAGCCAGGCTCGGGGACAGCAGGCAGTTTCCTTGGCTGGGCTGGAGAGGAGAATAGCCCCATAACTCTCTCACCCTCTCCCAACTGCTGCCTGGTCAACTGGGGAACCATTGCCTTCAGTGTGAATGGGGTGAAAAGCTCAGGGCCAGACAGGCAGAGTAGTGTGGTAGATGCTTCCACCAGAACTGTGGGCAAGGCCCTTGGCCTCCCTAATCTTCCCTCTCCCCAACGGGAAAACAGGGATGACACCACTTCCCTCAGCCAGTTTTCTTGTGATGATGTTTAGTAAGGTTTTCATAAGATGATATGTGTGTAAGAGGTAAGTAATCTGCAAACGGGAAAGATGGCTGGTTCTGTGAGGCCAGGCTGCTCCTGGTCCCAGCTAAGACGTCACGCTACCTGCCTCCCAAAGGAAGTACACCCTTGCTTTGGGCCTGTGCCTTACTGAGTCCTGATCCCTCTTCCTTCCTACCCCTCCCCCGGCCCTCTTCTCTTTCGGCAGACAAACTGGTCAAGTGTGAGGGCATCAGCCTGCTGGCTCAGAACACCTCGTGGCTGCTTCTGCTCCTGCTCTCCCTCTCCCTTCTCCAGGCCACGGATTTCATGTCCCTGTGACTGGTGGGGCCCATGGAGGAGACAGGAAGCCTCAAATTCCAGTGCAGAGATCCTACTTCTCTGAATCGGCTGACCCCCTCCCCACAGTCCCTCACACCTCGAGGAGAAGTGGGGACCCCATCCCTCATCAGGAGTCCCAGTGCTGCATGCGATTATCTACCCACATCCCCGCGGCACCTCACCCTCTCCGCACACCTCTGGCTGTCTTTTTGTACTCTTTGTTCCAGAGCTGCTTCTGTCTGGTTTATTTAGGGTTTATCCTTCCTTTTCTTTGAGAGTTCGTGAAGAGGGAAGCCAGGATTGGGGACCTGATAGAGAGTGAGAGCATGTGAGGGGTAGTGGGATGGTGGGGTACCAGCCACTGGAGGGGTCATCCTTGCCCATTGGGACCAGAGACCTGGGAGAGACTTGGATGAGGAGTGGTTGGGCTGTGCCTGGACTAGCACGGACACGGTCTTTCCTGAGAGCACTCCTCAGCAGGCATGGCTGGTGCCTGAAGACCCCAGATGTGAGGGCACCACCAAGAATTTGTGGCCTACCTTGTGAGGGAGAGAACTGAGCATCTCCAGCATTCTCAGCCACAACCAAAAAAAAAAAGCAGCCCTCCTTACCACTGTGCAGGTTCCCCAAGAGCCTTGGGGCATGAGCCGGTGAAGATGCAGGTTTGACCGGGAAAGCAGCGCTAGTGGAGGGTTGGAGGAGGAAGTAAAGGATGAGGGTTCATCATCCCTCCCTGCCTAAGGAAGCTAAAAGCATGGGCCTGCTGCCCCTCCCTGCCTCCACCCACAGTGGAGAGGGCTACAGAGGAGGACAAGACCCTCTCAGGCTGTCCCAAGCTCCCAAGAGCTTCCAGAGCTCTGACCCACAGCCTCCAAGTCAGGTGGGGTGGAGTCCCAGAGCTGCACAGGGTTTGGCCCAAGTTTCTAAGGGGGGCACTTCCTCCCCTCGCCCATCAGTGCCAGCCCCTGCTGGCTGGTGCCTGAGCCCCTCAGACAGCCCCCTGCCCCGCAGGCCTGCCTTCTCAGGGACCTCTGTGGGGCCTGAGGCAGGCCATGGAGTGAGACCCAGGAGCTGGACACTTCTCGGGAAATGGCTTTTCCCAACCCCCAGCCCCCGCCCGGTGGTTCTTCCTGTTCTGTGACTGTGCATAGTGCCACCACAGCTTATGGCATCTCATTGAGGAAAAAGAAAACTGCACAATAAAACCAAGCCTCTGGAATCTGTCCTCGTGTCCACCTGGCCTTTGCTCCTCCGGTAGTGCCTGCCTGCCCTGCTTCGCTGGGGCCTCCACAGGTGAGGCTGGGAGATGCCACCTCTTCCTCTTTCCTGACTTCTCCCCAACCACTTAGTAGCGACGCTGCCCCAGGGGCTAATGACTGCACACTGGGCTTATTTTCAGAATGACCCTAATGAGACACATTTGCCCAAATAAACAAACATCCCATGTCTGCTGACTCACCTGGCTAGAACAACACGCTTACCTGCCAACACATGGGCCGAACCACTTGGCCCTGGCTCTTGAATGCACAAGTGGCTTTGCGTGAACCTGCGCTAAGTTACGCAGTCTGCTTTTAATTCTCAGCTCTGGTAGTTCTTCAGAAATGCCCCCTCCAGGTACATCCACTACTGGGAGATGCCCATGTCCTCGAGGCATCGCTTCCTAAATCCAAAAGCATTGGCAGGAGAAAGGACTGGGGACAAATACTGTCCCTTTGGGAGTAGGGAGGGAACACTGAGCCCCATCCCTGGCTCCTCCCCTAAAAGTAGAGTAAAATGGGAGTGAGCATCCTGGGATTGGGGGCTAGAGGGGGACCGCAGGGCAACTGTGGGTTCCAATTGCTTTCAGAGTTAGAGAGGCAGCCCCAAGCCAGCCTCCCTGCTTTGCCAGGGAATTTGGGGGAGGAAGGTGACAGCTGCCCAGAGGCTGACTCATCTGATAATTTAGCACTGGGTAGGATGATTATTTCTGAGCATTTTTCTTAAAGGTCTCAGATCTAAATTATGCCACCGGCTCCCACTCTTGCTACCTCCTGTCAACCTCTCTGCCTTGCCTTCCACCCCTGTAGTTACCATGCACAAAGAGAGGAGGAGGAGCTGTCCGTGTCCCAGGCTGGGAGGCTGACAGCCCCTTAGCAAGATGCTGCCAACCCAGAGTGCTCCAAAGGGAGGACACCCCTGAGACACAGGCCCCTCTCCTTCAGCCCTGCTTGGGCTGCCAGCGCCGTGCCAAGGAAAGGCGTCTTGGTGAGAAGAGCTGCTGTGGGGGAAGGGAGATCAAATGCCAGAGAAATGTGGGGAGCACCACCCTCAGGGTAGTAAGAGTTAGAGTATGGAGGTGTTTCTGGAAGGAAATGAGTGGCACCGTGTGAAGCCTCGCACCTATGTGACTCCTCCTATGGGGTCTTTGTCACACTCTAGTACTGTGTCCCTGAAGAGTTTAGCAGCCACACTCTGAAGGGTGCTGGGAGATGGTGTTGCCCTTTGCAGCCATGTTTAGGGGAGCAGAACCTGAGGCCCACAGTGGGTAAGGTTAGCTCAAGAAGCCGCAGAGGCCACCAGAGGGCCACGGACTTTAGGAAAGAAGAGAAGAACAGAGCATCAGGCCTCACAACACAAACCTACCCAGAGCTGGGCGCGATGGCTCACGCCTGTAATCCCAGCACTTTTGGAGGAGGTGGATCGCTTGAGGTCAGAAGTTCCAGACTAGCTTCGAAACCCCATCTCTATCTCTACTAAAAATACAAAAATTCCAGGCATGGTGGCGTGCACCTGTAATCCCAGCTACTCAGGAGTCTGAGGCGGGAGAATCACTTGAACCCAGGAGACGGAGGTTGCAGTAAGCCAAGGTTGTGCCACTGCACTCCAGCCTGGGTGACAGAGTGAGACTTTGTGTCAAAAAAATAAAAAATAAAATAAACCTATCCGGAATGACCATGCCGAGGGCTGGCAGCCCGCAGACTTTCAGCCACAGTCCGCGATAGCTGTGGGTCCCTCTGTGGTCAAGTCAGCAGGCCTTGTGGAGGTTGTGGGGTGTCTGTGGTAACTCAGGTAATTATAGAGGGCTGGGGCCAGCCCTGGTTCCTGTGCACATGCCCCAAACCCCTCCCCATCCACTCCCTCGCCAGTCCTCACCTCTTTCCTGGGTCCCCCTTCAGCACCTAAGTCTATACCTGGGGCTGTGGAATTCCCGCTCAAAAGCAACAGAAGCCCCTCTCTGCACCCCCATTTCTGGACTGGATTGTCCACTGAGACGTGCAATGTCTGCATCTCTGACATCCAGAGGCTTCCTCGGGTAGGGCATGGGGATCTCCGTGAGATGTGGGGACTTTCACTGGCCAACAAAGAAATCTACACAGCATCCAGGGACCTGTGACACACATCCCTCCCGCCTCCTCAACCTGATGTCCCTCTCTGAATCTGCAGCTTTCGTGCTGTGAAGGTGTCTTTACATGTGAAAGAAATAAATCCCAAGTCAAGAGTAAATCACCTCATTCACTGGTGAGAAAATGTTGGAGCTGGAGTAGTTCAGAGAGTCCTGGCCAGGCAAGAGGGCCATCAGCTCGCTTCTGCTCAATGGGGGCTCTCAGCCTCAGGACACTCTCAGACCTGGAATGTCCCCAACACACTCAAGGAGAAACATGTCCTATGCAGACCCATAGGAGGCATCTTTGCCCAGCACAAGGAAGAGCTGGGGTCAGTGGGACCTGTGGATGTAGACACATCATATGGAGGGTGGTGCAGGACCAGTGTAGCAGCTCCATGGAGGCCAAGTGTGACTCTGCACCAGGAAGGGGCTGTGATGGCTGGAGGTGCCCAGCAGTGCAGGCGGGGAGTGCCTGGCAGCGGGCGTGGCCAGGTGGAGGCCACCTGCCAAGTGTGCAGTAAAGCAGTTTCCTGAATTTGGTGACAACATGGACTACAGGACTCTAGTCTCTTCCCCCTTTAGGGCTTCACTTCAGTAAGTCTTAAAATTAGGGTGTGGTAGCTCACGCCTGTAATCCCAGCACTTTGGGAGGCCAAGGCAGGTGGATCACTTGAGGTCAAGAGTTTGAGACCATCCTGGCCAACATGGTGAAATCCTGTCTCTACTAAAAAATAAATAAATAAATAAATAAACAAACAAATATTAGCTGGGTGTGGTGGCATACGCCTGTAATCCCAGCTACTTGGGAGGCTGAGGCAGGACAATCGCTTGACCCAGGAGGTAGAGGTTACAGTGGGCCACTACACTCCAGCCTGGGTGGCAGAGTGAGATTCAGTCTCAAAAAAAAAAGTATTAGAGCTTGGTGCGGTGGCAGGCACCTGTAATCCCAACTTCTTGAGAAGCTGAGCTGGGAGGCCCCCTTGAGCCCAGAAGTTTGAGGCCATCCTAAGCAACACTGCGAGACCTTTTCTCAAAAAAATAATACAAACAATCATTCTTAAAAACCAACAATAAGCGGGTTGGGCTGAAATCATGTATTTGTACAACAAACATTAGGCACCTAAATGCACCTGGCTCTGTGCTAAGCTATAAAAGACACAAGTCCCTGACTGAAGGGGTCCACAGCCCAACAAGATGGAGGAATCAATTTCAGTGCAGTGATCAGCACTATGAGGAAGGGAAGTTGTGGAAGACACCAGTGCGGGTTCCCCAACATGCATTATCTTCTTACTTCTCAGCAATGGGACCCATAAACTAGAACTGAAACGTGTGATCCAGAAGAAAGACTCTATTTCCCAGTTCCACTGCAGTGAGATGGGCCTATGTGATTAAGTTCTGTCCGATGGGATATAAGCACAAAATAGTATGTGTAATTTCTATGAAGGGCTCTAGAAGAGAGAAAGTGTGCCTTTTTCCCCACTTTCGCCTTATGCTAGCTGGAATGTGGAGGTGATGGCTGGAACTGGAACAGCTATTTTGGACTATGAGATAGATGGAATTTGTGTGTTGCAAATGACAAAGCACAAAATAGAAGCCTGAGTCCTTGGTGATGGTGGAGCTGTCAGGGCAGCCATGGACAACCTTTTTTAAGCGACTGTTATTTGGGCTTTTCTGCATTCATCACTAACTAAACCTAAAACTACCTTAAAAATAATCTGCAGGCCAGGCACAGTGACTGACGCCTGTAATCTCAGCACTTTGGGAGGCTGAGGCGGGTGGATTGCTTGAGCCCAGGAGTTCAAAATCAGCCTGGGCAAGGTGGCAAAACTCCATCTCTACAAAAAAATACAAAAATTAGCTGGGCATGATGGCACCCGCCTGTAGTCCCACCTACTTGGGTGGCTGAGGTGGGAGGATCAATTGAGCCTGGAAGGTTGAGGCTTCAGTGACCAAGATCATAGCACCGCAATCCAGGGTGACAGAATGAGACCCCGTCTTCAAAAAACAAAAAATGAAGCTGCTACTTAACACTGCTGAATTGTACACTTAACAACGGTTAAGATAGTAATTTATGACTTTTTAACCACAACTTTTTTTAAAAAGTCAAAGGTCAAATTAATAGAAACAGAAAATAGAATGGTGGTTGCCAGGGGCTGTGGGGAGAGGGAATGGGGAGTTATTGTTTAATGGGCACAGAGTTTTGGTTTTGCAAGATGAAAACAGTTCCATGGATGGGTAGTGGCGATGGTAGCACGACAGTGCGAATGTACCTAATGCCACTGAACCATACACTTTTTAAAAAATAGAGATGGGGTTTTACTATGTTGCCCAGGCTGGTTTCAAACTCCTGGGCTGAAGTGATCCTCCCCCTCAGCCTCCCAAAGTGCTGGGATTGCAGGTGTAAGCCACCACACCCAGCCTGAATCGTATACTTAAAAGTGACTGAGACGGTAAATTTTATATTCAGTGTATTTTATCACAATATTAAATAAATGGAATAAGCCAAGGTACCAGGAAACTCTTTGGGGTGGTTACCTTTATCAAAACTCATCAAACTGTGCACTTAAAATAGGTGAATTTCATTGAATATAAATTACACCTTATCAAAGTGCTATGGGAACACATATGTAGGGCCCTTTTGCCAGGCAAAAGTAGCTTCCCAGAGGAGAAGTCATGAGTAAGAGGGCAAAAAGCAGTCTCTACTATTTTGTAAACTAATTACAAAAAAAGAAATTTTATGTTATTTCTTCTATACTCTGCAAAATCAGGGAAAAGGGAGAGGAAGCCATCGCGGGTTCAGTCTGAGGACAGGCCTTAGCCCGTCTCTAGGTTAATACACAACTGCTGGTGGATATAACA